AAATAAGAAAACGTCGCTTATATTATCTGCGCACAAGATCTGCAGAAACCTTTGATGGAATACATAGTTGGAATTTCAATTGATCATTTTGTGAGAATTGTGTTATTAAAAAGCACACAGCTTGCACAGAACAATGACAAAGCTAAAAAGCAATTGGAACACTTAAAGTTAAAATATCGCTCATGTTTTTAGAAAGTACGAGCTTCCACGAAATTTGGCCGAACCCTGTACAAATTATTATTACTAAATGGCATTTACAAACAAATAATTCAAAATAATCCGCAATTTAAAAGCTAAACGTTCGCGTTACGCATCAACAAAATTCTCTAAAATTTGTTAGTCAGGACAACATGTGCCATATTTAAACCTTATGTGCTCCAATTGCTTTTTCGCTGCGTCATTTTCCTGCGCTAGCTATTTCGAAAAGTCTTCTTGGTAACACAATTCTCATCCTAAGAATTTCTATTTTTTGCGACAATCTTACCATTGCATAAACCAACAAAATTCTTACTAACTTTTTCCACCAAAAGTGGCTTGCAAATCTTGAGCGCTAATAACTTTAGTGACTTTTACCAAATTGTTCACTTTTTTTTATACACTCTTTAAAACGAATTCGTATTTTAAGTTAGCTAGGCATGGCTGGCAAATTTGATTTCAAGACGTATGGTTGTTGTTCGTTTGCAAACACGCGTGAACTTAAATGTCTAACGGAAACAAAAAGCCCAAGATAGTAGCTAAATACCTTTTGTTCTTCTATTTTGTAAAATAGAGTTATTTTTCAGTTTGATTCGGGTAAACAAAAAAAATGAAAACTCAACAAGTTGATGGGCTAAAATTGAAATAAAAACGTGTTCATTACATCTGCGTTAAACCTTAAGAGGTTTGGAGTTTTTCATACTGTGCACATACCGTTCTCTTTTATCTTCATGAAAATACTTTCAGAACGTTAGCATGCCTTATTTGTTGCATTGCAAGCAGCAATTACAAGAAAAATGACAAAAATGAACGCAACCATTTTTTTAAATACAACGATGCCACTTTGAATTTGAACTGTTCTTTCTCAATGACGACGATTATATATACTACCAATCTTAAGCAATTTATTCCACTTTGTACAGCTGTGTTTATTTTACGTCATGGTGTGCTGCAGTAACGAAGAATTTTTTCATTACACAGTCCTTCTTTACCACTTAACCACTGTGATCGATATACGACCATGTATCTGAGACAATTAGAAATACGGTTATATACCGCCAAATGCCTCTGTCTGATGACTATAAGAAATAATAAAATATAGTCTCATAGCTGTGTACGTGACAAATAGATAGCGAGAGCGCAATTCAAATTATGTAAATATAGTATGTATATATATTATTCATGCTTACAATTACTCAAGTAATAGCATATTAATGAATTATTTTGACATAATTAAGTTGTTGCTAGGCTTTTCTCTAATGCCTAACCTAACCCTTACCCTGCCCCCTTAAGAAAGTTTGAAGATCGAAAGTTTGTGCATATTCTAAAGTTAGTGGAAGGAAAATATGAAGATTCTACAATGTGAGTGGAAAATATTTACTTCCTCCCCCTCCAGTACGCCTATGGTTGAAGGAAGTTTTTACAGTGTGTAAGATTCCAGTTGTGTTTTTTATAAGTTGTGATGATTGAATTGTTGACCAAACAAAAAGGTCTGAAAGACGAAGAACTACAACTTTGCTTCCAGTCCTGAGAACAAAAGTCAAAATTTGTAGATTGTAGAATGAACAGTAACATATGTAGGGCATAGCTTGAGTTCTTAACAATAGGAAGGCGACTTACTTCTTCTGAAAAAAGGGGCGTGCTATTTAATTAGTTTGACAAAAGAGTGGTATAATTGTGAGTGTGCATAAATTACATAGGAATGACAAAAATTCGTTGAATCAATGAAAGTCTTTTTTGGATCTTTTCACGGGTGAGATAAACTAAGGACAGGCTATTGTAACTCTCATACGTTGTGAGATGAAATTTCTTGCTTAGAATCTTGTTGTTTTTTTAATTTATCTTGATAGTAAATATTATCCATTAGTTCTATAATAATTTTAGTATAATTAATAACTTGACAATTTAATTTCGAAAAGTGCTTTTTTCTGTATGTCTATTATCTAGTTATTACACATACATAATTCATGCTGCTAAAAAAATGCCAACGTCATGCTGTTGTTATTATTACACTATTGAAACAGAGACTTTGTCGTGGTGACGAACTTAAAGATGGATTTCAAAATAGCAAATACCATGGTGAATGGTATTCTTCTGTCAGGAATAAAACTGTTCCTTTACGACAACTACCAAAACGTGGGTGTAAAAGTGAAAATCCGATTCTGTGTGATTCAGCGATTGGAAAACATCTTTTAACCAACACTCGCTGTGCGAATGCTTATTCTGATGCAAACTTTAAAATTATTAAAAGATGTCGCTCGTAATTGTAGCTACGCGTCATGGAGTCGGTATTAATTAAATTGACTAATCCTGTCCTTTGCCGACAAAAGGATTACGTTTTTAATCTGTCTCTGTTTTAAGTGTCATTTCAAAAAATAGGGATGACATTGACCTTTTGTAACATTATAAATATAGCATGATTTGTAGGTTCTCATTTAGCAGACTTTGACACCTGACGAGTAGTCTCCCAAAATGCATAGTGTCTCTTTCTAGCTGTAAATAACGGTTCCTTTGAATTGTTGGGTTAGTGCTCTGGTTAAAACAGTTATTGGAGTTTGACCTTACTAATGTACTTCTGAAATACTTCACTTTTTCAATGAAGTTAGTCGTTTTCTCAAATAATCCCGTTAAATACACTTTAATCAACCATTTTATGTACTATATTTGATATTGGAAGTATCAGTCGTTACATACTGCGTCTCACTTTGCATCAAGTTAAGCTAAAATATATGAATGTTAGCAAAAATTTTATCGTTGAAAAAAGGTGGAAAGCTCAAGCTCCTTACTCCAAGCACCTCCTTTTGCGCCATGCATGCACTTTAATCTAAATAAAATCATCATTTAGAACTAATTATAAATTTCAAAATTTTGGCTAATAAATGCAATAAAATATGAAATGCTAATGACTTTTATTCTGGGTATCAATTACAAATTATGACACACCTAAAAATTGGCCAATCAAAATGCCACACGTTGGGCAGCTTTGCCATACTTGAAGATTTATCCATTTGAGAACTTGTTATTTGAATTATTACAACAGTACGTGGAAAATGAGCGTGCAAAGAAGAACGTTAATCTTCAGTAATTATGAATTAGGGAAGGGGAGGCAGCGTGCAAAGAAGAACGTTAATCTTCAGTAATTATGAATTAGGGAAGGGGAGGCAGCGTGCAAAGAAGGACGTTCATCTTCAGTAATTATGAATTAGGAAGGGAGGCAGCGTGCAAAGAAGAACGTTAATCTTCAGTACTTATGAATTAAGGAAGGGGAGGCAGCGTGCAAAGAAGAACGTTAATCTTCAGTACTTATGAATTAGGGAAGGGAGGCAGCGCAAAGAAGAATGTTAATCTTCAGTACTTATGAATTAGGGAAGGGGGAGGCAGCGTGCAAAGAAAAACGTCAATCTTCAGTACTTATGAATTAGGAAGGGAGGCCGTGCAAAGAAAAACGTTAATCTTCAGTACTTATGAATTAGGGAAGGGAGGCAGCGTGCAAAGAAGAACGTTAATCTTCAATACTTATGAATTAGGGAAGGGAGGCAGCGTGCAAAGAAGAATGTCAATCTTCAGTACTTATGAATTAAGGAAGGGGAGACCGCGTGCAAAGAAGAACGTTAATCTTCAGTACTTATGAATTAGGGGGAGGCAGTGCAAAGAAGAATGTTAATCTTCAGTAATGGAGGAAGGGGAAGCGTGAATGGAAGGGAGGCAGCGTGCAATGAAGAAATCTTCAGTACTTATGAATTAAGTAAGGGGAGGCAGCGTGCAAAGAAGAACGTCAATCTTCAGTACTTATGAATTAGGGAAGCAGCGTGCAAAGAAGAACGTTAATCTTCAGTACTTATGAATTAAGGAAGGGGAGACCGCGTGCAAAGAAGAACGTCAATCTTCAGTACTTATGAATTAGGGAAGGGAGGCAGTGCAAAGAAGAACGTTAATCTTCAGTACTTATGAATTAGGGAAGGGGAGGCAGCGTGCAAAGAAGAACGTTAATCTTCAGTACTTATGAATTAGGGAAGGGGAGGCAGCGTGCAAAGAAGAACGTTAATCTTCAGTACTTATGATTTTTTTTATTTCTTAGTCTGATAGTCAATCAGATCAAACATTGCAGGAGTCCAACATGGAACAGAGCGATGATAATAGTGAAATTGTTGATGAGAATTATAATAAAACTGCCAAGACGGAAGAGAACTTGTCTTCTCCCATATGACCCACGTCTCCCACTCGACCGTTGAAACCTGCGCTGAAGAAAGGACCGAGATCTCCTTCACACGATTCAAATATAGGTGAAGTCACGTGACTATTTTATTTTCCCATTGGCTGTTTTTCGACGGGAGTATTATAAACTTGAGTGCGAAAAATTTTTTGCTTTGCTGGTCGAAACACTTGTTTTCATCGTCGAACATGATACATTTAAGGCTTCATAACGAGCTCAATTCAACCTATGAAATTTTTTGTTTCAGAAGAATTCCGTCTTCCCGGCCACCCTAAGGGGGTGTTTACATGAATCCGGAATGACTTTTAATCCCGATCGAAACGTGATGTCAATCCGTGTTTACATGAAACTAATTGTTGATTTTCTTCGCACTCATTTTAACCCATTTAGCCTCTTTATTTATTTACGAGCTTCAATTTGCCAGAAGACAATACCCATGGCACACGCGTGATTTGTCTTTAATCACAATATCATTTCAGAATGAAACTCAAATCGCGTTTACATGAGAAAAAAAGTAAATTTCGATCCGGAATGAAACTAGGAATGAACTCGAGTTGTGACTCATTCCGGATTCATGTAAACACCCCCTAAGAGAAGTGTTCATTTCCATCATAAATTACCGCAATTCAAATCGCATACAAGTGTCGAAGACTGGTTGGATGGTAAAATGAAGGTAAGTCAGAAATATTGTGGAGTTTTCGCGCGTCATTTTTCTTTATAAAATAAACACAATGAAACGCGTGCGCTGATTGGTCTAGAGCTGAGTCTGCATTCGTCAGTGCAAAACATATCTGAGCTCAACCAATCAAATCAATCTAAACTATCAATCAGTCAAAGAGAATTTGCAAATCGATCATGAATACAATTTAGAGAAAAAATTAAAATGTTTGTCTTTTTCGCATTATTGTTATTTTATAAAACAAATAAAAGATGTTTTTCGTGTTTGCACTGGCTTATGCAAACCTCGGAGACGTTTGTGAGAACTCTTGCGCAGGTGTAACTCTCGACCTTCGGTCTCGGGCTTGCACTGATCTGCTCTCGAGTTCTCCCAAAGGTCTCCTCGGTTTGCATTTTATTTCTTAAATGATCACTAGCTACATCATACGACCATTTATCATTTTGTTGCCACTTATAGCAATACAAGCCCAACTTTGAACAAAATGGCTACGATGACACAAGCTTCATATGTGGAATGACTGATCAGGTGGAGCACACTTATTTGCCCTGTAATCCTTACTTGTCCCCGAGCACCGTCTGACGTACTCATTTGTCTTCGCACGAGGGTGTTTTTAAAGATGTTTCTATGGGATGAGCGCCATAAACTAAGACTGGCGTGTCGGAACCAGGCCTCCCTCATCACTTTGTATTAAAATAACAAGATCGCTATGAAAGATGTTTATGTTATGTTTTCTATTAACATGCGGTATAAAAATCCATATAACTATATAAAAATGCGAAACGCTACGTATGACGTTTCGTATATACAATGTATACTACGTTTATGCTCTGATTTACAATTGTATCTGAAGGCCCGTTTACACGATCGATTTTTCTGATCCGATTTTGTCGGATCCCAAAAAACGGATCGTGTGAACACGTATAAAGTGAGCCTTTCGACAGTCATTATTTTTACGATTCACCATGGTATTTGCTATTTTGAAATCCATATTACACTATTGCAACATAAGTTGCAGATAGTTTGATATTGCTAGTAAATAAAACTCTGTGTATATTTTCTTGATATGGTAAGTTATGATGCATTAAGACATGATTTTTTCATAATATATGTAAATTTCTGCTGTATTTTATCTTCACCGCAATTGCTAGTGAAAGTATTGAACCGCAATTACTTACTAGAGAAAGTATTGAACTATTAGTCCTTCGTAGCTTTAGTTGTTTCTACAAGAATGAATTTCATCGAGTAAAATTATCATTACAGAAAAGTTTCAAAAAAACGCCCGATAGTTATTTGGTAAATAGAGATTTTAGGAAATTTCTTGATTGTTTAACCGTGTATCTTTAGGCTTATCATGCACATATAGAGCTAAAGAGAGTTAATGTTGAACTTACTAGAGAAAGTATTGAACTATTAGTCCTTCGTAGCTTGAGTGGTTTCTACAAGAATGAATTTCATCAAGTAAAAACATCATTACAGAAAAGTTTCAAAAATACGCCCAATAATTATTTGGTAGATAGAAATTTTAAGAAATTCCTTGACTTGTTAGTAGCCTGTCAAGGAATTTTGCCCCGAATGTTGGTTTTTGAGTGTTTAAGTTTTTCTGATGACATCAATTTTGAAGATATTATTAAAAATATTAAAATGATATCTCAGATTTTGCCATTTTACGATGATTGTTTAACCGTGTATTATAAATCGCTTATTGATTGGTTGAAATCAGCTGGTTGAGAAAGACACGAGTTTACTGTTAATTCTCAGTCTATACTAAACGGGCATCAATTGTTAGGGCGTGTTTGCGAGAAAGAGTTTCATCGTATTAAGTCGAAAAACATTTTTGAAGATGAAATGAACACTGCTATGACTAAATATGATTTGATGAATGGGATTTATCATATGATAGAATGTGGTAAAATTAAAAAAGAGGAAGTTTCTTACATGAAATTAAAGATGAAAACTTGCCACTTGGAAAAACCTCCGTGAAAACACTATTCTAATTGGCCAAATGCAAGTTGAATGTTGTGAATTCAACCCTTAATGAAAAACTCTCACGATTAACATTACCTCTATAGAAACATTATTGTCAACGCTTGTTTAATAATCAGGACACGTTTTTAAAAAAGACTTTTTAAAACATCTTATTGTTCAGAAAAAAGTTTATTTGAACTTGGGAGTTCAGTTTCTTTGAAATTTTTATTTCTGTTTTAATTTGTTGAAAAAAACTCAAGATTATAAAGTTTTACGAAGTTTTTATCTTCATGGTGATTTTTCAAGATCATTTACATTCCATTACACTTCTAGAAACAGGAGCAAAAGTAGAACAATTATTGGGGTTGAATACTCTATCGGACTGACTTCTTTTGGCATTTGTACTGGAAGACTAGAAGCTTGCTGCGTGCTTTTTAAAACTTAGTTGAACATCTTTTCCCAATTCTTATACGTGTACATAGTTCCAATATCAAATATAGTACATAAAATGATTGATAAAGTGTATTTAACGGGATTATTTGAGAAAACGACTAACTTCATTGAAAAAGTGAAGTATTTCATAACTACATTAGTAAGGTCTGAATATTTTTCTTATTGATTTTAAAAATGTTGAATGAATCATTACACATAATTCTTGAATATGTGTAATGATCACCTACACTTCAAAAACGTCCCGAAAATTCAAACCTGGAGGGGAGGGGGGCTACGACTTATAGCTAGGATACATACTGCGTCTTACTTTGCATCAAGTTAAGCTAAAATATATGAATGTTAGCAAAAATTTTATCTTTGAAAAAAGGTGGAAAGCTCAAGCTCCTTACTCCAAGCACCTCCTTTTGCTCCATGCATGCACTTTAATCTACATAATTGGAATAATTATCTTTATGTAATCAATGTCTAAGCATTAACATTAGGTTTGAAAATTATGTAGCATTGACCTCAGTGACTAGTCCCATTTCTTTTAGCCTTGTTTATTGAAATAGTAAATACCACCGTAATGTGACATGCATAACGTCTGCAACAATGTCCTTATACAAAACAAATAACTGTAATATTTTAAAATTAAATGATGAGTTCTGTTCCTGAGCATGTCATTTGTGCAAAGCTCGAATTCTTTAAAACAATGTGATCTTTTTGACCCTTGTGTAAACCCAGCTGTACGCATGCCGCGTAACTATTTTAAATATAATAAAGCAACATCAAGTTTTTTACCAAATTACTAAGTTTCGTTATTCTCGAGCATAACTAAAAAAAATCTCAATACGAAAGATGAAAAAATAAGCAAGCAATCAAGATTATTTTTTTGTTTGCTAAATTTATAGATACAAATTAGACTTGTCCAGTTGGTAGATATAAAAGCTTGCTACTTTCACGGTGGTTTTTAAATAAATTTCTTATCAATGAACGTTCTAGTTACGCCTCTGATCGTAAATTCATTTGCAATTACAGCAAGTAGAGGGCCACTCAACATAATTGATCATCTTTCAAATCAGCGGACATTTAACATTTGCATGAATCAGCAATATAGAACTCCCAAGGAGGCGTAAACATCATTGACAAGACCCTCACGCAGTATTGTTTTTAACAGGACTTGCGGTCTCTTGGAGATCAATTATTGCTGAATCCTAAAAATTCTAAACGTCGGTGGATTTCAAACATGCGCAGTTGTTTTGAGAAACCTTATAGAAAGATGACGTGGTTAACAATTATCTGTTACACCTTAAATTCCTTGTACGAACCATACAGGACGTACTCATTGAAATCGTCATTTAGAACTAATTATAAATTTCAAAATTTTGGCTAATAAATGCAATAAAATATGAAATGCTAATGACTTTTATTCTGGGTATCAATTACAAATGATAACACACCTAAAAACTGGCCGATCAAAATGCAACACGTTGGGCAGCTTTGCCATACTTGAAGATTTACCCATTTGAGAACTTGTTATTTGAATTATTACAACAGTACGTGGAAGATGAGTGTTTGGTAGAAGTTGCAACAGTTCGTCGACTGTGATACGCATATCTTTTAAAATTTTTTGAAGCCACACTCAGGTAAATTTGTCTTTGGAACTTCTTGTAACTGAGGAATTTATCTCTAGTTAGTCAAAGTGTGTATGAACGGCATTGTTTTCTTATCCTTAAAAAATACGAAACTTGAGTTTTTCCATAAAATTTCCTTTTTTATAACTGATGTTTGTTCTCTGCTTGATTTTAGACTTAATCTTATATATTCACCACGCGATTGTGGACACGTTTATTATAACGAAGTTGATAATTTTTCCCGATTGAGACGAAATGGCTTTTGTCAACCATTACCTTGATTTTGAGCTACACATAATAACAAGAAGTTTTTCCTATGCAGCAGTAGATTCTGTACTTTTGGTTGAAATTCAACTTACTTGTATTCATCGACAAATGATCACTAAACGTGATCGAGATACATTGAACAAATGATGATGGCTTATATTCAAGACGATGGTGGACAAGTATAAATAAAGAAGTTGACTAATTTTCACGATGGAGATGTATTTGGCTTTTTCAACCATTCCCTTCAGGCTGAGCTACACATAATAACAAAACGTTTGTGTTATGCAGCATTAGATTCTGTAATTTTTGTTGAAATTCTACTTCCTTTGAGCTGCTTTGAAACTGAATAAATTGTTCATAGTAAGTAAATTGTCTTTTCTTCCTTAATATTTTTATCATAATTTTTGCCAAAAGTTTCACTGCATTTATTAACTGCATTTATTTAAAGAAATTATTAACTTTGACTACGCTATTCTTCTAGAAACCCTATAAATAATGTTTGAGAATGGACACTATATTCTCTGGTGGGTATTAAAGTTGGCGAACGCTTTGTCCATGGTTTAGCTATAAATGAGAAACTACCAAACCAAAAATACAATACAATCGAGAGGAACGACTCCATCAGCTCTACACAGTGTTCATAGAGGGAGCCACTATTTTACTGGACTATGGATTTTTGAAACGTGTTTCCTTGGTTTTTGTCCTACTGTTATTATGGTCAATGCCTTGTAATCACAAAGACAAGTCTCGAAACCTCGCCACTCATAAATTTTAAAATTAATTGAAATGAAAATTTTTCGGTATAAAAAAATGGTATTTCTTTTTTCGAAAGTTGTAAACAAAAATCCTAATTTGCCGACTGACTGTTGAGATTTTTGATTTTATGCCGTTTGCGACATGTGCAGTTGTAAGAAATGGCCAATCTTGCTTCTGTGCTTGCCGTCATTGACATAAAACGGGGGATGTTCGTCAGGTAGCCGGAAAATTGGAAACGATGAATGAACCATCGTTGTTCTAAATTTTTTAAAAAAAATTTCGGGCATCCACGTGGTTTTACATTTTGAACATCTGATCTCTTACAATTGATAAAAGTTCGTCGTTCGTCGTCTGTCGTTAAAGGATGCCTGGCCAGAGATTCGCCGAAAACCGTGAGTGTTACTTTGTAAATACGTAGTAAAGCCTTTTAACAGGCCAAGTCTTTAATACAATTCTGGTGATACTCAAAAAAATCCTGGTGTGCAGTATATTCCACTGTAAGACTATTTTTTAATGCAAACAAACTAATAAATGCATTTTCCTGTTGAAGTTCTCACGTGCATATTCAAAAATAGTCTTGTTCAAGAGGTTGTAAAATTTTCTTTTTGATTCAAACAATTCGTTTGTGATTTGGTTTAATATAATATAATTCGTTATTACTTTTGGTTTGGTAAAATTTGTTCTTTAATAAGTGTAATATTTATGTCAACGCGCTGTTATTTGTCAATTGCGTCTGTTCTATTCTGTTTACTTTTTATAACCTCTTGTGAATATGCTGATATAACGAGCCACGCATGGTAGCAGCGATTTTTGCCTCGCAGAGTGATAAACAGGATGATCATAACAGCTTATATCGGAAGTGCAAGTGAAGTTTGGCCAAAGGAAGGCAACTTCTACTTGGGGTTAGTGGGTACAAATGGTACCTTAGCGTAGAGGATGCGAATTGCATCTGTAAGAAGACTTTAGAAGACTGGATCAAGCGAGCAAGACTATATGAAAACAAAGCAAAGATGGTGGTTCTGGTGAAAAGAAAAAATCTCTCCCCTAGTAGGGTAAAAGCATGCAGTCGTTGTAGTTAGCCAATTTCATGAACGGCTTTCTACGGTGACTTTTAAGGTACTCCTGGATCCCCTATAATTCATGTGTAGTTCAACTGAACCCAGTTGGAGGTCACCCGTAGGTGCAACAAGAACTAGGTTAGGTTAAGTTAAGGGCATGATGGGTTACCTCCTTCAAGGGGCATTCCTTTTCAGGGTGGAATGCCGGTTTCATGCGCAGGTAGGAAGTTCAGATAGTTTAGGCATTCGCTGTAATTGCTGCGGGTAGATGCTAAGCTCAGATATTATGTGTAGGGTTAGTACCTTTAAAAATTTAAAGGATGAATTCTAACTTTTAAGAGATGGCTAAAATTTATAAAATTGGAAGCAAATTTCAATCTTAATTTTAGTTATTTATTCTTCAACAAATTGAAGCTTTAGAAAAGTATTCAGTTTGTTAAGACATTTACAGTTTTAGGAGCGGCGTGGCAATCACTGTAAATGTAAAAATGATATGTTGTTTTCTTTTAAAGATGACTTCATTCTAGGGAATTTCAATGCTGCAAGCCACAGCGTAAACCAGCGTTAAAAATAAACGATTAGTACACCAGGTCTAGGTATGTGGAATGTCTTCATAAAAACTATAAAAGAAACATAGTTTAAATGAAAGTGCATTGTTTTGTTCTCTTTTAATGGCTTTTATGAAGACAAACCGCAGACGTTGTCACATATTTTACTCAATAGTTACACGACGGTTTCCATGTTCACCAATTGTGTTCCTACTAAAGTCATATATGTGATTATTGTCAAAATTAAACACAAACGTGTGTTTCTTCAAGTGATTTCTATTGATATTGCATTTTCATTTAAACTGTATTTGTTCGAAATACAATAGCATATTTGCTAATAAAGTAAACTTCAAAGTAAATGTCTTGAAGTATTTTTATCTAATCCATGTCATGCAGCAAGCGCTTGCTCTAATTTTAGGCGTTAGTGACACCGGGCGCGTAAAAGCACTGAATTAAACGGTGGTAAATAGGGACGCTTAAGTGGCGCTGGGTTCGACTTATTTGGATATGGATTAGATAAGCAAAGCATACGTTTTAAGAAATTCCCTCCAGTAGAACAATTTTCTCGTTCAAAGTAGAAAATTGTCCATTTCGGTGATCGATTTATGTAGTTAAACCGAAACATGGCAACTTCGGTTTGTTTTTGTATATATTCAAAATGGCGAAAAACTTCAAAAATTAAAATACCTTTGAGAATACTAACAAATTGTTAGGCTTTAAAGTTTATATGAAAATTTTGCGTTTTTTTTTGTTCTTGGCTTTTTGAATCGTTGCAAAAGTAAGTAAAGTTTATTGTTTATATGGGTCCCCAGAGTGCGGAACTTCGGCTAAAATCCCTAAAGGCATATTCATTCAAGTTCTTTAAATATAACCAGTAATAAAAAGTTTATTTTGATACCAAGATTTTTATTCTTTCTGTCATCAAAAAGCCATGACATTTATAAATGTTCTAACCATGTCCCTCGTCATCTAATTCTATGTATTACCACGAATTTGATGTTACCTGCTGTTACCTGTTACTCTTTAAAATTATAAATTCTGAAATTGAGAAAGTCATTACTCTTCTTATACATGACAAACATGGTAAATTCTCTATATGGGCTAAAGATAAACAGTTTCATAATAACTGGTTGCATGAATGTACTGTGAGCACTATTGAACTTATTTTAATAAAATACATTATTTTTCACATAGTGCTTAGTTAAGATCTGTTCATCACCTTCTACTTTTGCATGGAATTATTACAATTTTTTGGTCTTTCAAGGTATATAATGAGTGTCTTCAGTGATAATCATGATGTTTACAATTTCCTATACAGGCCAATCATAAAGATATTTTTAAGGCTGGGAATGTAAAGACCTGGTTTATTTTAGATACTTAGGTGAACGAAAAGTTCATTTCTACAGTGAGTCTTAAGCATGCTGATAAGCTATGATGAGGGCCCTAGCCACGACGTTAATGGGGGGACATATATTCAATTGTGCGCGAGTAATTACTTTTGAAAGTGATTTTGTTTTCCAAAGAAATCAGTCAGGCATAGTCAAATATATGAAAATACACTCCTTCCCGCAATTAACATTTTATCCTACAGTCCAGGCAATAAAACTAAAATTTGATGGTCTAACGTTGCTTCTCTTTAACTAACTCTTCAAAGAAACGATAAATCTAGCGTCCATTCAACGGGACTTTAAAAAACGTTATAAATATGACCTTAGTCGAGATATGATCACAACAAACAATAGGTTTAGACGACAGCTTAAACGCCATAAATTACATGTTAAGCATCAGTGTATCAAACTTTTTCGCGAGAGTATGCCTCCGGACCCCCAAGATAGTGAACGCCTCCGGCATTTGGTCATTTGTACTAACAACAAAAAAATCCTGGATGCGTCCTGTTTAAGACGGTAAAGCGCGATGAATTTGGCGTGTTCATTTTCCGATGGTGCATTTGCCATCGAAGGCAAAAGAGGATACTATATCACGCAGAGATAAAAGAATGGTAGGTACTGTTTCTATTGATTCAAATATGTTTTCGTTATTAGAGACATAAACAAAATTAGGCTTGTAGGCTATGTAATAGTATTATTAACTGGAATAATTTCTAAATTAATATTTATTATATACTTTTGAATCAAAGACATTCAATTTATGCCAACTTTTAACATTTCATATTTACAGGTAATACAAGATGCTTTGTCTTTCCCAAAATAGAGTGTCAGCAACACATCACATTCTTAAAATGAGGAGAGATGACGCTATTCAGATCCATTCCAGTGATATGGCATCAGAGAATGACAATTGCATTCATTGTGCTAAGTGGGTGGAAGAAAAGCGAATGCTATTAAATATAGTTGAGAACTTGCAAAAAATAGTGAAAAGATGAAATGTTAAAGCTAAAACATTCCGGAAAAAGAGTAAGAAGTAAGGATCGCAAATTTGAATATGACTTTACATTTACACTTATCTCTGAAACATTCAATTACCTTATACATTTTTAGTAAAATTGCTGGAATCACGATGGAGAGGAGTAAAGACAACAAACAAAAATCACAAAACAGATTTCAACCCTGCACCATCTTACGAAACGTAAATGGATAGTAATAAAGATGAATCAAATGATGAGGAATATGAAGCAGAATCTTAGGAACCTGAAGACTTTGGATCAAGATATGAAACCGAAACAGAAACTAAAACTGATGATCATGAATGGTTGGTTATTATCAGTATTTGCAAATGTTGTATGTTTTTATATATTTCCTTATTTTGTGTAGAATCAGTTTGGCGGGAAGTAATCTTCGAGCGGAGCAAAAGTATATTCTGTTCCTTTCTCGCCTATTACTATTGTTTAGGTTTTGTTTCAAGCGCAAACATGAGAACCCAGAAGTCAACTGCAAAGCAAATGGAAGTAACATCTCAATTACATCCCAATGTCCATCCTGTAATGAAGAGACTCAATGGCACAGTCAACTATATGTTCCAGGATCACAAATCAGGGCTGGCAACTTTTTGTTGTCTTTTGTTATTCCATCGAGTGGTGGCTTTCCAGAAAAGATATTTAAGATGCACAATACGATGGGACTTGGTTGTGTTACATTATTACACATATCAAAAGGTAATTACTTTTTAATGATTCAGTCCCAGTCACCTTTCATGTGTTCAACAACGCGAGTGTATTATTGTATTCCATGATGACTGTCTCTTTCGAAGTTAAAAATACTTTTGGTAGCTAGATTGAGCACTATATTTCCTGTTTTTTCAAACTGAATTTCTACGAAATCTCAACATGCTTGTTAATAAAAGTGACTGGAAGCATGCATTCAAAAGCTTTCAGAACAGCAACTGTTATATCATTGACGCTTTTTTTTCAAATTACGATAATTTGAAATTTGTCTTGAAAAGAGCCAATACAATGGTGAATCGTAAATTACTTACGTTAGTATTTTACCATTCACAATTTCACCATGGTATTTGCTCTTTTCAAAACAATTATTAAATTTGTCACCACGAAAATATCTCTATTTTACCATTAGTGATAATTGCACATCGAAAACACGAGTATTTGCTCTAGTATTTGCTCTAATATTTTCTCTTTTCAAGACAATTTTTAAATTTGTCACCACGACAATATCTCTATTTTACCATTAATGATAATTGCACATCGAAAACACGAGTATTTGCTCTAGTATTTGCTCTAGTATTTTCTCTTTTCAAGACAATTTTTAAATTTGTCATCACGACAATATCTCTATTTTACCATTAGTGATAATTGCACATCTAAAACACGAGGAAACAGTGGCGGATCTAATGTACGTCAAAATAAATTAAAGCTCCTCAATTTTTTTTTTCAAAATACATTCAGAAAAACACTATTGGTTTTTTATTTCTAAAGAATATAATCTAACCAATGGATTTGCGTCTAAGGTTTTTGTAAATGTAAAAATACGCCAAAAAATGTGCTGCAGTAATTGAGACATTGAAAGTCATCAGTGAAAACATCATCCTAATTTTGGCCAACGGCAAGTTGAATCCTGTGATTTTAACAATTGATGAAAAACTCTCATGATTAACTTAACTCTGTAGAAGCTGTGTTCTTCAATATACACGACATGTTTTTTGAATGATGAATTCACTTTCTTCGAATAAACTTTATTTATTTTTGTTGTACAATACTCTCGACTGGTTATGACGGTTTACGGGCTTCTTTAAAAAGAGTTAAATAAAAGCTTAATAGTTGGAATGTCATTAAACAAAACAAAAATGTAGCATGCATAATGCTACATTTAGAGTCAAATAACATTATGCTATTTTAAAGTCAAATAACCAAATTTTCCATGTAGTCAGGGCCATTAGTAGAATGCTAATAGGGGGAGGGGGGTAGAGAAGAGGCTACTCATTTCTTCAGTCAGCGTCACTCAAGATTTCCTTTTAAAACCAATAAATATTTAATGCTTTAAATGTTAAAAATTACGTTCGTCTCTTATGTACTGACCCTATTTTGTCTATAAAATAGTTTTGTTTTCCTCGAGTCAGTCCCAATGTTTCCAGGAAAGATATCTCTGTCTCGAGAAATTTCAATGCAAGATGTCATGACGATGATGATAGAATTTTTGTTTACTTCAGAGTGTTTTCTGAATCTTTTTTTCCTATTAAAAGCTGAATTTCATCGCTTTATAAGCTCAAGAAATGTTGGTTTTTAAGTTTTTGTCTCCATAGCTATATTGCTTCCTCATTAAGTAAACATGTAACTACGAATGAGCCAATCACATTCAACATACACAGCACCAATATAACAAATGTAGCTACATACTTATAAAAAGATGCGTTATAAAACACATACCAAGATTGCTGTTAGTATATAAATAAACCTTGCAAATGAATCGTTGACAACTATCACATTTCAAATGCACTGGTATCAAAAAAATATCATGGTATCTGCACTTGCTGGAACTTATTTGCTTGCATACTTTACGTTTCAATCGACATTCGGATGCAGCTATTTTGTTAATTGTTAATTCATATTTGGAGAACTAAAAATTAAGACTCTAATTTTCGTTAAATCTATTAAAATAATAATTTGATATATATATATATATATATATATATAATATTTAATGTTATTATATATAATATTTATACAAAGTGTATATACTGGGTTGTAAGGACTCATACGGACGCGCATTAAAAGTGCCGCAAATGTCCAAGCGATAATAAAGCTTCTGTCAGTCAAGTCAACCCCACCTACTCGTGGTGCAGCCTGTGTTTGGCTAACGGGGCTCTGGCGAGGGGCGAGCTTCCGGCGCCCTTAAATTAACTGGAATCCGCTGCCTTGCGGTTAGGGTTTGACTGCCCAAAGGCTAAGGGTGAGGTAACCCTGACAGAAACCTCCGGAGGACAAACCCCCCGCAGTCACGACAGGCCAGGCCCACCTACGTGTGGACACGCCCTGCGGTCTGACAAGGTTCGCCCAGCTATGGATTAAATAGTCCCCAGTCATGGTAAATGGTTTTCGGCGTAACGGGAAAAACGCCAGCAAAGGGCGCTCACGGATTAACTGTGTCGACGGCCTCTCCCTGCAACCGCGTAGTTTCACAGTCGTCGCGATCATTTGTGCCACTGAAGATGGAACCGCGTGGCCAAGCCAATAGAACATGGCCTGCACAACCATGCTCTTCTCACTGTGCATGCAGTCTGCAATCAAAAGTCTATCAAAAGTCCATCAATACGGATGACTCATGACGGGGGCAGGCTTAGTAGGCTGGCAGCCTCTAGTGCGAAATTCGATTGCTGGCGGCTTGGATTCTAACAATCGCTGGATAGAATGAGAGATAATATCCTTCGGTATTTCATCAAGCGACGAGGATGCCCTTTTTAGGGATGCGCACCCTCCCCCAATCCGGGGAAGCTCCTAGAAAAGGTGGAGTAAATCGCACTCTCATCACTCGCCTGCTCAGCACACCGCGGCTGGGGGGTACTCACTCAAAGCGGTCGAAATAACAATGAAATTCGAAAACTTGCGGCCTGGAACGTAAGAACCCTAAATGACAATCCAGGAAACATTCGTCCTGAGCGTTCTACCGCTCTTGTAGCCCGTGAGCTACATCGTTATAATATTGACGTTGCTGCTCTAAGCGAGACAAGACTCCACGATTCGGGATCACTCACAGAGGCAGCGGGTGGATACACTTTCTACTGGAAAGGCAAACATTCTTCAGAGAAACACGAATCAGGAGTTTGCTTTGCTATCAAGTCCTCCATCCGATTATCTGAGCTTCCAGTTGGACATTCGGACCGCATCATGTCACTTCGTTTGCTGTTGAATAAGCAACGTTCGCTCCATCTCATCAGCGTGTATGCTCCTACTATGCAGCATTCTGACATCATGAAAGATGCATTTTATGAAGATTTGTCAGCCATCATTCGCACTATTCCAGCCCACGACAAATGCATCGTCCTTGGCGATTTCAACGCTAGAGTTGGCAATGATTTCCACACCTGGCCATCCGTTCTCGGTCACCATGGCATCGGCAATGTAAATAGCAATGGTAATCTTCTCTTAACAATGTGCGCTGAAAACAACCTGACCATCACCAACTCGTACTTCCAACTACCAAACAAATTAAAGACAACATGGAAGCACGCTCGCTCTGGTCACTGGCACCAAATTGACTACATCATTACAAAGTCAAAAGACATATCAGACTTCCATGTCACTAGAGTCATGCGAGGTGCTGATTGTTGGACGGACCATAGACTTCTTATTTCAAAGGTGTGTCTTAAGATCAGCAAACCTGCACCCAGAAAAGCTCAGAAAATTCCGAAGAAATTCTGCGTCTCGAAACTCAAATCAGAAGAAGTCGCAACATCCCTCAGAACCTGCATCGACGAACAGCTACAGAATATCGCTGCTCCAGAGTGGGATAGTCTGAAGACGGTTCTTCTTAACTCAGCTGAGACTGTCCTTGGCTACCAAAAGCATTCTCATAAGGACTGGTTTGATGAGAATGACGTAGAAATTGCCGAACTGATGAAAGCAAGAATGAATGAAATCGGTGACAGACTAAAGGAAATAAAGAGGACCATAGCGAACAGACTCCGAGTTATGAAAGACAAATGGTGGCAAGAACGCGCAGAAGAGACCCAAAGATATGCTGACACTGGAAATGCGAAAGAATTGTTTCGGTCGCTGAACGTCATTTACGGGCCAAAAAAGAGCTCCGTTGTCCCGTTGCTCAACTCGGACGGTACCAAGCTCCTTACGACATCCGACGACATCCGAGAACGGTGGACTGAGCACTTCACACAGCTTCTAAGCGAGACCAGCATCTATGATGAGGATGTCATCAACAACCTCCCTCAATGACCCATGATTGACACTCTTGGTGATGTGCCCACTCTCGAAGAAGTTGAAAATGCCATCAAACATATCAAGTGCAACAAAAGTGCGGGCCCTGATGGAATTCCACCAGAATTATTTGTGTGCGGAGGACCCTTGGTTGCAAAACATCTGCATGGCATAACTGAAAAGATCTGGTCCGATGAGACCATTCCTGCTGAACTCCGTGATGCAAACATTATCACCATCTTCAAGAAGAATGATCGCCATAACACCAACAATTATCGAGGCATCAGTCTGTTGGCTGTAGCCGGGAAAATAATCGCTCTAGTGTTGCTAAACAGAATGCGCGATCCTATTGCCGAAGCAGTACTGCCAGAAACCCAGTGTGGATTCCGCCGAAATCGTGGAACGACTGATATGATATTCGCCCTTCGACAGCTCATGGAGAAATCGAGAGAACAGAACCAAAAGCTATACATGACTTTTGTTGACTTTACCAAAGCGTTTGATCTTGTGAACCGTGAGGCACTGTGGACCATCGTCGCAAAAATGGGCTGCCCACCAAAATTTGTCAATATCTTAAAGTTATTACATACCAACATGTGCGTCAAGATCTCGGTAGGCGGCGAGTTGACTCGTGACATTCAATACAACAATGGAGTGAAGCAAGGTTGTATACTTGCTCCCACCCTCTTTCCCTCTTTGCGACTGCTCTCTTCATATGCCTTTGAAAACGTACCTGAAGAAGGCATATACATACGATCCAGGATGGATGGCTCGCTCTACAACCTTCGTCGCCTCCAATCCAGCACCAAATGCACGCGGACACTGATGAGAGAATTTCAATATGCAGATGATTGCGTTTTTGTTGCCAACTCGGAGGAATCCCTTCAGTGCATGATGGATAGCTTCGAGGCTGCTACCAAATCCTTTGGCGTTATCATCAACACAAAGAAAACAGAAGTCATGTCTCTCTCGTACTCACCGATAACATCCCCGATCACTGTCAATGACACTCCGCTCACAAACGTTCAATCCTTCAAGTATCTTGGCAGTACTGTCACCAGCGACTGCTCCATTGACAAAGAACTTGACAACCGCATACAGTGTGCCAGTTCGTCATTCGGCAGGCTGTGGAAACGTCTGTGGTCTTCGCATGACATTAAAGTTACTACAAAGATCGCCGTGTATAATGCAGTGGTACTGTCGACTCTCTTGTATGGTGCCGAATCTTGACGTTATACCGTAGACACGTCACACGTCTCCGTCAGCTACAACAACGTCACCTACGCGCAATCCTCCGCATTTCCTATCAACAAAGAGTAACGAATGACGAAGTTCTGACGAGAGCCAACTCCATGGACATTGAGATTACCCTCGCCAAAATGCAGCTAAGGTGGGCTGGTCATGTTGCTCGCATGGCAAACAATCGATTACCCAAACAGCTACTCTTTGGAGAGCTCGCTGAAGGAAAGAGACGTACTGGTCGTCCGCTCCTGCGTTGGAAAGACTCTCTCAAATACACTTTGAAAACATGTCAAATTTCAATAGATAATTGGCAACTCGAAGCGGCGGATCGATACGACTGGAGAGACAAGTCACGTAAAGGTCTCAATAAAGGAGGGCGAGGCGGGCAACGCTGTAAAACGATCAAGACGTCACGCTACCAGGAACGCCTCCACTGTCGCAGACTCGGGAGAATTTCGTTGCCAACACTGCAACAGGACCTGCGCAAGCATTGGCATGTTAAGTCACGAGCGCGCAGTCAGTGAACTAAATGGACTTTGCAGATCGTCTTCGACGGCAGCAATATTATATACAATGTAACCTCGGCTATCATTATAAAAATGGTCATCCTGCACTTGGGACAGGATGTGTTTATAAATGTTGATGATTATGATCTAGATGTCGTAAGAATCGTGAGAATGCATTAAGTTCATTGACTACAAATTCGATTTCATAATTTGGAATTAGGTTTCGCAAAGAAATCTTTCTCGATACCATTTATCAGTGTTGGAGTGAATTTGCGGAAACAGAAATACAGTCACGTGACATGCAATTGGCGGCACGTTTTGATGGCCTGACTTCATATCATGGATTCTTAATTACCATTAACGCCGTTTAGTTCGAGTTTGAAAAGCTGAACAGTAACAGAAATCCATTGCATGCATCTGGTTTGCAGTCCAGCTTCAAATGTCCAGTCCCAGTTAAATTTTCCTGTCAGCGCCCGTCACTGGTGTTTGAAAGTTATTTTGAAACGAATCAACCTCCGTTTGACAACTTTATGATAAAAGTTCCTAAAATGAAATCTGCATAAGATAGTTAATTGGCAATAGCTTTTCTTTCCACTTTGTGAGATTTAGTCGTACGCTTATTTATGTGCTTTGCAGTTTTTGGAAAAAATGATGACTTTTTTGTGGCTGTTATTTTTCAGTTTACAGTGGCTTCGCCTTTACAAATTAAATTTAGAACTCTCTCTCTCTCTCTCTCTTGTTTTTTTGACTGGCCAGTAACAACGCGATGGTGTTTCTTTAGCATTGCTTGAAAATTACATTTCTTCGTATTTTACTCTTTAATGAAAACCTCCAGATCTTCATTAGCACACTGCAACTCCCTGTAGCTCAATATAAATAAACCTTGCAAATGAATCCTTAACAACTATCACATTACAAATGCACTGGTATCAAAAAAATATCATGGTATCTTGACTTGCTGGTGCTTATTTGCTTGTATACTTTACTTTTCAATCGACTTTTCGATGCGGCTATTTTGTTCCTCTTCCGGTCGCAGTCTTAATTTCTTCACTGATTTTCTAACAACTGAAGAAATGTGACGAAGATCTATGATCTCAGGAAAAAAAATTACTTACATTGAAGCAAAAATTAAAATGAAAAATAGTTTTGCTAGTATGAACGGGTTTGATTTCAATCTCCGAGAAGTCGAGGTCGTTTGCAAACCTCCGAGATTTGACACGAAAACGAAGTAATATATCGACCGGAATTTCAATGTTTTGTATTTCGGAAGTTGGAGCCGTTGTCAGTTGATCTTTATATGGTAGCTGGATAGTTGATCCTCAAGTTCTTCAGTTCTAATAAAAGGAAACAACGAATATATATGGACAACTAATAACTTTGATATTATATCATCAAAACTCCTATCTCACGATTTCTTCATCTGTTCATTTTAAAGACGGCTGAAAACATAAAATACAACATGCTCTGGTTTATTAAAATCAACAATATCACGAGCGCTATCAGTTTTGCCGGTTGCAGAACGCTTCGTGTAGAGATGCGCGTGGTCGATGAACCATAGTCACTGATCTTCACACGACCGTATTGTTCAAGTCATGAAATATGTTGACTGGTTTTATATCACGATGAATCATACCTTACTGGCAAAATTTCGACAAAAAAGCAAATTGTATGTCTTTATTGATCTAAAGAAAATCGTACCTAATTTTTATGTTTAGTCACACATTCATACAGACAACGTGTACAATAATTGAAAGGTTCTACATGTGAATGAAACGTGAACTAATCCTTCTACAATCGCATTGAGAATCAGCAAAATTCTCTGTTATATGGTCCTTGTACAATCTTTCATCAATAAACTTCCTTAAAGAGTTCTTCTCACAATACTCCATCTGTACAAACAAACTATAATAACAAGCAACTAGAACGTTAATTGGGGGTTGCATATACATTATTCCGTTATACCCTACCATACTTTCCGCTGTGCCTTTCTTTTGAAAGTGAACTGAATTTCAAAATAAATCAGCAGGGCACAAATGAATATATGGATATACACCCCCCAAATTAACGTTCTAGTTACGACTCTGTTGAGTAAACTTTTAGTCTTCTTGCAAAACTCTTGTGGTGATTGCTTCGTCTTCACTTTCGAAATCAGATTTCTTGTCCTAAAGGATAGACGCAGGTAGCTATTTTTACATATCTTCAGCAACATCATGAACAATTCCCATTACTATATACCACGTGAGCAAAGGAGCTACCAAATCTTAAATTTCTTGTACTAAACATGTAGGAGGTATTCATTGAAACTCTTTTGCAATTCTATTTGTAATTATGAAAGCGTTGGCTGATAAATAGACTATAATATAAGATGTGCTTAGTGACTTTTATTACGTGGACACCAATTACAACTAATGATGCACCAAGAGATTGACCAATCAAAACACAACACGTTAACTCAATTTTTGCCATACTTTAAGATTAACACATGATTTTACTAAACAGTTGTACGCATTACGTACTAATGAGATTTGTCATCGGAATCAGTTCATCAGCTTGTGCACAAAGATTATTTTGAAAATTTTGAAACATTTGAGAAGTATCATTCGAATATCTCTTATAAACCAAGCTTGGGTAGGTCTTTGAAGTTTCTTTTAACAGAGAACTTTATCTTTGATCGAAGTGTAAAATAGGAATGGCACTGTGACTTCATGAAAAATGTGAAATCTAAATTTATTTTTTCTGTAAAGTTTTCGTTTTAGTAACTAATATTTGTTGTTCCATGCTTGAATTTAGACCCTTATTTCTGTTCAACGACAAATGGTCACCAAACGTGATCGAGATACGTTGAACAAGCAATGGTGGTTTATATAATTATATTCACAAAGATGGTGGTCACGTATAACTTGATCGTTCTTTCAATGAAAACGGATTTGGCTTTTGCTAATCGTTCACCTGAGGTTGAGCTACATATAATGAATGAATGAATGAATGAATGAAAATCTTTATTTTGACACGCTGGCTTTGTCAACTGGGATTGATTTCTACGAGGGGCGTGCTTTTGTTCAAAAACAATTACATAATTTACTAAGATAAATATTATAGAATTTCTTGATAAGTTTTTATTTACAACTTTAGATTTTTTCATTCCTCCACCCTATTCGAAATTACTCCAACCTTATTCCTAATATGAAAAATGATTATCCTGTTGGTACAACTTGATAAAACTTCAAAATATGAATCATTGTATTTTAGTTAAAGAAATTATGCCAAATACACATACACAACTTTAAAAATCTGTTTTATTGTACCCTGTTCCACAATTTAATCTTTCAGCTGCACCAGAGAGGATGCAGGAATCGTCAGAATTGAATGACAAAGTCCTAAAGTAACAAAGCTAGCTAAAATCAACTAAATCAAGGGTGAAGTCATAAAAATAAAATGCGCCATCCATTTTATTCAAGATTTCATGCTAAAGTGAAAAATACTACAAAATGCGGATGAAGCGAAAATAACAACAACACAACAAAATTAATCATTTTCTGAAATGCAATTATTTCTAGCCATTGAATCGCTATGTAAAAAAAAAATACATTTGGTCTAAGGGGTCAATCAGATGAAGTGAACTGTTACAGTATGACGCTGCAAAAGGCACATGAGATTTAAGACTTTAACTTATTGTCTTCATATTCCAGATTTATTGAGATCTACGTAGCCACATACCTTACATCACTACGATGACCAGGTGTCTTTATGGAAAGTATATTAGTTGAATCTTTCTTTTCTTCACTGAAGACATGAAACTCTACGCTGTTGTTGTGTAGTAATAATGAAATCTGTAGAAATTTAAAAAACTTCTTATTTCAAGTGGATGCAACTAATTCCATAGTATCCAGTATACTACGCATTCTTTATATGTACAATCAAATAAGATGATAAAAAATGACGAAAGACTCTTTCTCATCGTCCAAAATGACTATTCAACAACACTTGGAAATATACAGAAACATCAATTTAACACATCCATACTTCTCAAATATAAAATAAAATCGCGGACAAAAATAATGAGATACCTTTAGATCATTATTTGAATTCAATGCAAAGTCAAATGACCTAACAAGAATAAAAAAATTGTTTGTATTTTATAATGGCGGGAAAGCAAGACAAGTGAATGAACCAAGTACGTATGTACGAGGAGGACTAGAAACGACTTTTGCATCATAAATATCGTTTAAAAATAACTTTTTTATTCAGCCATTTTGAACAAGCAATTTTTAAAATTCACATTGTAAAACTGCTTAAAAATATTGCATGTATGAAAGTATTAGAAACCAACATTGATTAATTATATTTAAGAAAAAACATCCCTTTAAGAAAAGCACGTGAAGAAAAATCCACTTTCTCACACAAAACGCTTGATTTTCCACAAGCGAATTACAATGTTTGTACTCCATACATCATTTTACCTTATCTTTGAGGTCGCTTTAACATCGGGTAATTTTATAATCTCGTCTTCGACGGTGGCTAAGACGTTTTCAGAAACCTGATAAAATAAAGTAATGTTAAAATATGTTTCAAAAATAAGACAAATAGTGCGCAAGCACATTTAAAATGTTGGAACAACGATATATGATCTCCACTTTCTGTTTCTACGTTTTCAAAATCTATTTCATTTCGAGCAACAAAACCAAATATGCTCCAGGATTTTGACTTAATATATACAAGAACTATTCACAAATAAAGAGAAATATCACAATGTTACAGAAACGAGGCAAGATTGTGATGTCTTAGCAGAAAATTACGTATATTTTGATTCGTCAAAATTCTTTGCACACAAATTTCACGTAACAAAAATTATCTAACCGTCAGCTCGTCGGCTTCCAATCCTTGTGATCTAGGAATAAAAAATGGTAAAAAATATCACATGTATGAGAATAAAAAAGCTTGAATATAGTTTTAAAATTTCAAAGTCAACAACCTTTGCTTCTTTAAAATCTTTTTTCGTCTTTTTGCCAAGCGTTTTTTTATTTCGGTTTCTGATGCAAGACGAAACATTTCTAACGTAGAATTAGCACCCTAAACAAATAAAAATTATCTTCACATAACCACATCTTTTCTTTAGTTCTCTGTTGAAATAAGAAGTACTGATTATATTTTGTAAAATTCATTCATAACCATGAATATTTTTGACATACGTAAAATACTACATTCTCAACTTGGTTATGAAGAAATGAATAATGACAACCTATGGTCCACATTAGAATGGAGTTTTTCCATTGAAAACTGAGCAATATTTGCTACTGCAAGAATTTCTGCTGGGTTTGTAACATTTGCACGAAAATTACTCAGACAGTTGCTTTTATAATGAATATTCCCTCAAGATGTCAACACGACTCTCGGCGACCGCAGCAAAATTGATATGTAAATTAAATATTTTGTTTTCCATAACTCACTACTAAACCCACTTCTTAGAAAGCTGTGCGTTGCTATTGTCTAAGGTTTTAAATAGTACAATGAAATACAATAAGCTATAGAATTATAAAGAACGAAAAGTTAATGTTTATCATTACTGTTTCATTAATCCAATCAGAAAAGCCATTTATAGTTGATACTAGGTTGTAACATAAAGCTGAGCAGTAGCCACATAATGTTCATCATCTCCATAATTTTTACAATCCAAATCCCACATAAAAACTCTACATAACGTACGTACATGACAACCAATATAAGTTCGTGAAAGATCAATACTACGCGAGTTGACCATGCCAATCATTGTACGAAGCTTTTGCGATAGAAGAAACCGAGTTACTAGAACTAAATGTTTAATGAATTTTGGACTAAATGCTTGATGCAGTGGTGACAGGTCTAATGCAGATCCAAATTATAAACAAAAAGTTTATTAGAAATTTTATTAGTTTAACTTAACATAGTAATATTCACAAAAATCGACAACAATCCTATGCACAAATATCAACCAACATTCCTTATACTGCATACCTCACAAATATTCACCCATAGTCCTAATTTACCTCACAAATATCCATCAACGTTCCTAATATACCCACAAATATCCACCAACAATCCTAATACTACCTCATTGTAACATCTTAAAAACGCTTATTTTCCCTTTGGTTTTCTGAATTTAAGTACCATCCACTATTATCCCTCATGCATCATGCAAGAAAACGCAGAGAAATGACCACCAAACACCTCTTATGTACCTCTATTTCTCCTTTACCATCCTCGCTAGATTGCGTTGCTGTCTTTCGTTTTCTCGTTTCTTCGCGTCTTTCTGTTCTATCATCCTTGTACTGAATTTTCCAAACTCTTAATTCACTGTCTGCAGAACCAGTAATTAACCTTGTTTCATTCTTGACGACGACAAAGCCCCAAACCTTAAAAAAATGTAGATTACAGTGACTTTATTACTGTTCCTAAATCCCTGTTTCTAGCCAAGTATTCATCCTTATTCTTTTACGGAGAGTGAAGGGTAGACAACTCCTACATCCTATCATAAGAACAAATTCATAGGTTCCATTCACCTCTGTTTTATGACCAACCAAGGTAAGAAAACAATGCTGTGAATCAAGATCCCAAAACTTCACGAAAGTGTCTTTGGAACTAGGAAAGACAAAACCATTAAATATAAACTAGCAAAGCCATTTAAGATGAAAATAGATCTTCTACATTTACCTAGTTATAAGAACATTTTGAAAATGAAGAAACCGACAACAAGTCACCATTCCTTTATGACCTTTAAGTCTGAAGAAATAACAAATTTAAGAACATTGTCGTCATACATACATAAACATCATTTATCTCTTTCTTAACAAACATTGCTATATAAAAAAAGAAGTCGCTAACTTCAACATTTCGGTCATATGATACGTAGTTTCTAAGCTTTACAACATACGTACAGTATGCATGTAGGTGGCAAGACCTCAGTTTAAATATTCCACTGTAAGTCAGTAAGTCATACCTCTACACTCAGTTCATAAGTATTTAGAAAGCGATACCTGACTTTTATTTAGTAAGTCATACTCCCCACTCTCAGTTTGTAAGTCATATTCCGACTTTTATTTAGTAAGTCATACTCCTTACTCTCAGTCTGTAAGTCATACCCTTTTATTTAGTGTCATACCCTCACTCTCAGTCTGTAAGTCATACTCCCACTTTTATTTAGTAAGTCATACTCCTCACTCTCAGTTTATAAGTCATACTCCCACTTTTATTTAGTAAGTCATACCACTTTCAGTTTGTAAGTCATAATCCCACTTTTATTTAGTAAGTCCTACTCCCCACCAGTTTGTTCATACTCCCACTTTATTCGTAAGTCATACTCCCACTTCAGTTAGTGTCATACTCCAACTTTTATTTAGTAAGTCATACTTCCACTTTCAGCTAGTGCATACTCCCACTTTTATTTAGTGTCACTCCACAGTAAGTCTCCCACTCTCAGTTAGTAAGTCACCCCACTCTCAGTTAGTAAGTCATACTCCCACTTTTATTTAGTAGTCATACTCCCACTCTCAGTTTGTAAGTCATACTCCTACTTTTATTTAGTAAGTCATACTCCCCACTCTCAGTTTGTAAGTCATACTCCCACTTTTATTTAGTAAGTCATCCCTCCTCTCAGTTTGTAAGTCATACCCTACTTTTATTTAGTAAGTCATACTCCCACTCTCAGTTTGTAAGTCATACTCCAACTTTTATTTAGTAAGTCATACTCCCCACTCTCAGTTTGTAAGTCATACTCCCACTTTTATTTAGTAAGTCATACTCCCCACTCTTGGTTTGTAAGGCATACTCCCCACCCTCAGTTAGTAAATCATATTCCCCACTCTCAGTTGGTACCATATACCCCCAACACTTTTAGAAAGTCAATAACATAAAAAACATGTAAAGAGAAATACCTTACTTTGGAATATCAACATAATCATAACTGCGTAAAAGCAGTATTGATAATGCACATTTAATGAATACCACAAGTTTTTAAAGCAACCATGTTTCTACATCTCATGACACCTTCATATAAATACACTCATCATTTATTTAAATCAATATTTCATTGTAATATTTATATATAATCTACTCATAATTAAATAAATTGTATCACTGTATCATATTACTCTTATTTATATTCATCACATACATAATACTCTTTATTATACTGAAGATGTCATCATAAGTTGTTGAAACTTGTATATTTTAAAACTTGTCATATAACATTAAATGATCATAATCATACCTGAACATTCCTGAGTCATTAATTATATCCCAAACAATGACATCTGTATCCTATAGTAGTGGCGAAAACAACACAAATGAATTGTTTATTTTATAAACTACCATTCACAATTTATAGCAATTGATTTAGTATCATAAAAACAATTAAAGAATACCTTTGATCCAGACACCAATTTGACACCAGTATAATCATAGTTAAGAGCTGTAACTGCTGTCTTGTGACCACTAGAAGAAATTCAATAAAACAAAAGATGAAATAATTTTTTAATCTTTAATTCCAGATATGGCAAGAATGGAAATTGCCGAATGAAGATGTTTGCTTTGGCGTCTTTGAAAACATTAGTACTGATACACATCGATCCACAAAAATTAATAATTTTAAACTAAAACACAAGTCTACACTTCACTCCACAGTAATGCATTAGTGCGACATTGACTACATCACTGCTCAATTATATATTTTTAGGGATGACACTGGTTGTATTTACTATTCTCATAGTTTCAGAAGTTGCTGTGCAAATTTACAAGGCATTCAAGGTTTATTTATCTTTCATTGATTTTTTATACTGAAATTTGAAAACTTTCCACATTCCTTTGGTTGAGAGCATGTAAATTGTCTTCAAGTAGTAAATTGTTTACTGGCAAATTTTCTCAATTGAGTTTTGAACTGTTTTGTGAATGGAACACAGAAGTTGCAATGGCAAACAAAAGGTTAAATAGGGCAAAATGCACCATCATCAACATCTGTACAAGTTGTAACCCTCTCCAGGATACCTCTTATACCTTGTTGCATGCATTGTGGGTCTTGAAGTTGGAAAATTTTTGGTTGATGTGCCTAGCACATATATTATAATAGCGTGCTGAGGTATATTAACTGTTTGTTTACCTAAAAATTTTTTGAAATGAGTTTTGGACCGTTTTGTAATTGGAAATCAGAAGTACCAATGGTTAACAAATGGTTGAGCACAGACCAAATTGAAAAATATATTCCATGACAGGAAATGTACCTAAATGTCACTGAGGATGTACCATTATTTATATTCCAAATTCTGATGACACCATCGCCATACCTAAAATTTAAAAATAAACTGCAGGTGGAGGTGGATGTATGCAGGTGGAGGTGGATGTATGCAGGTGGAGGTGCATGCATGCAGGTTAAGCTTTACATTCTTCCCCTGTAAGCAGCTGCAAATTTATTATGTACATTAAGATCAAAAGCTGTTCAGTTTTCAAAAGCAAGGAAAACTATTTTATATAGGCAAATTTTATTACCTGTGGTGAAAGGGATATCAAGTCTAACAAAGATGTAGAAATTAAAATAGTTTGGGACATGTGGGGAATGTACACCAATGATTTTCATTTTTGTTAATATTACATACTGTACAGGTTGACTGACATTTTTTTCCTGGATATTAAGCTCTTTCATAATACAAGGGGAAAGGTAGGATCTGGCTTTTATAAGTTAGGAGGCCCAGAATCTGGCTTTTATAAGCAGGGAGGTTGAGCCTCTTCCCCTGCCTGACCTTGTGTTTCTTACAACCATACCTTTTACTGTTGAAAGTGTTGATTAGCCACAATGAAGTAAATATCGGGCATCATTTACAAGACATAATGAAATGCTATATTATTTAATTAGATAAGTTGTTTTACTCACCCAACAGCAAGATGTTCAGAGTCAGGACTGAGGCAGAGACAAGTCACTTCGCTCTTGTTACCTTGTAAGACATTCACCTAGACATTTAGATAAGCATATCATAAAAACAATTTTTAAATAGTGGAAATCTAGCATTGTTTAAAGGTTTCAACAATTCTGTTCAACTACTTTTTCGCCAAGTCTAGCGTCCCAAATATATACATTTTCTAGTGCGGGAACAATCGCGCGGCAAATTTCACGTCTTTTCTCGCCACTTTGAACAAGACACACATTAGCTCTAGCACTTCCCACTACGCCAAAGATTCCAGCTTCGACGTAACGCAGATAAGATTTTGTTAAGACCATTTTAAAGGAAAAAGAAGAGTCCTAAATATTGGAAATTCATCTTGAACTACAACAAATTGTCTTCCACCCGATATCCACGTAGGGATTTATGGCGTCAGATTTCCTCCATTATAGACGAGGCGGAGAAAGGGGGGTGTCGTCCAATAGTATCGTCTAATGGTATGTCCTACAGAGGGGAATTTGTTAGATCAGATCACTACCAGCTTCTTTTGGCCAATATTGGTGCGCTGATTTGAAAAATCGATGTTATACGGGAAATTTGACATTGTAAGATGTTTAAATATATTAAAATAAAGAAAATTTGTGTAGAGAACGCCTAAAAAACTTGTAGTTTCACGATCTGTCTAAATTTTTAATGATTATAGGTAAACATCGTTTTATAGCAGACGCACAAAAATCTTTTTTGGAAACGAATTTTACAGTTTATCAAATGGAAAAACTAGTTTTAATCAAATATAAACTAATGGTGAAAGTATATAATGACATTACAGTGAACTTTGAATCTTCGAGCAAATCTCTTGTGGTGACTGCTTCCTGTTCACTTTCGAACACAGATTCCTCTTCCTAAAGGAAAGACGCTGGTAGTTATATTTACATATCTTCAGCAACATCACGAACAGTTTCCACTACTATATATCACGTGAACCAACAAAATTCAAAATTGTATTTGTGATTCATTGATATTTCTTTCGAACTTATCTTTAAAACAAACGGTGATATTAATGGTTGTTTTTGTATTGGAACCTTGTCCACGTTAGAGCTTTTATCGTCGTCAACATGTTTTGAATTATTCGTGTTTTCATTGGTCCACGAGTCAACGTCCAAAACTCTCGAATGTACGATGGGTACTTCAACTAATTTCAATTTTATCAAGCTATCTATAACCAGGCGTCTTTGTTTCTCCTCTGTCGCTCTTGATTTAGTTACACTGCTGGAAGTTTCATTTTCAAGTATGTCTTCTACCTCAATCCACGGATAATAATATCTGTCATAATTATTAGGGCATTTTTATGCACAAATATGCAGATACAAAGTTAAAAAGAAAATAAAAACATTTCTAACATTGTCAAGAATATAAACGAGTGGCGTAACAAAGTGTTTATGACTTTCATATGTAATTGTCAAAACAAGCTTAAGAAGACAAACAGCTTGTCAAAAATATATGATTGAAAAGTGCTAAGCGCATTTATAAGCAAAAATTGCAGACCTCACTCCTTTAGTGCGTAGTCTACTGCATCAACTCTTTATGTTTATGGTTATGGCAACGACCAACTGTATGTACTAGTTAAATGAAGATGATCGCACTTTGCTGAAAAATCAACTGGATTCGAACATGACCTCTGCGGTTTACTGACCTACTGAGCTATGAAGTCACACAGTGGTGAGCAGGTCAATATTGTTGGCCGCACTTCATAAAACATTCATACGACATTCCTTTCACGAGAAAACATCAGCCCAACAATATTGACCTGATCACCACTGTGTGACTTCATAGCTCAGTAGGTCAGAGCACTGCACCGGCACCGCAGAGGTCATGGGTTCGAATCCCGTTGAGTCACCTGATTTTTTCAGGTCCTGAGACGATTGCTTAAATTGTCCAGCAAAGTGCGAAGATCATATCTTCATTTAACTTCAAATACCGCACTTTGTATGTACTAGTACCGATTATGGAGTAATTAGCTCGCTCTAACACAAATTTTTTAGATAAATCGTCAGGAAAATCTAAACACTCAAATACCAACATACGAGGCAAGATATCAGGACAGGTTACTAACATGCCAATAAATTTCCTGAAATTTTTGTCTACCAAATAATTATTGGGCGTTTTCTTTAAAACTTTTCTGTTATAATGTTTTTACTCGATTAAATTCATTCTTGTAGAAACCACTCAAGCGAAGAGAGACTAAGCGTTCAAACTTTCCCTGGTAAGTTCAATATTTTCTTTCTTCGTCTCTTTATGGGCGCGATAAGCATAAAGAAAAAATCCTTTACATTTTCAATTAATAATTTTAAAACGTCGTCAGGAACAAAAACTCGGAGTTCTTAGAGCGAGAAAAGTTCAAATGAACTTTCAAATATTTTCGCAGATCTATTTAATATAAACGAATTAAAATGGTTATATTTAGTATTAAAAAATAAAAAACAAGGACCATTCTAATAGATTTTTTATACATTAATTTAATCATTTTATACCCGTGCAGTGTTAATATTTGCAGAAAAGTTTCATTTCTTATAAATTTCCTCTGTCTGTTCCTATCTCCCCTCGTTTGTTTACATAAACTTTCAAATCAACAATTCTTATTATATCTTTCGTCCATTTTATAGCTTGATTTCTTTAGCTTCTTTGTAAATTATTTGATTTTGACGTCCATTTCATTTCTGCCAAACCAAGTTCATCTGTTTTAAATTTGTTGTCCAGGGTCTAAAACAAATGAATAAAATAATTTTTCATCTACAACAATCGATGATCCTTGCACATTATTAAACTATATACAAGAGTAACTAGAAATACAGTATTTATAGTTTTATACTTGATAAACGCAACAGTGCTAGCTACACGGTTGTTTCTACCAATTTAATAATGATCCTTTCGTACAAGAAAACCTACAGAAAAGCGGAAAGGAAAGTCAAGGAAAGTAGAGAAGAGACACGGAAAAGGGAAAAAAGGAAAGAAGAAGACAGGCGAAGACAATATACTTCTCTCCACTCCCATGAATCATTGTTGTTAAAAATACAGTAGAATCATCAATGTACTACCCCCCCCCCCGACTAATGGATACAGTGTAGATCAATATAAATTATAGCTCCTCAATTATAAATTCAAATTACATTTAGAAAAACACTATTGGTTTTTAATTTTTAAAGAATATAATTTTACCAATGGATTAGCCTCTAAGGTGTTTAGAAATGTAAATTTACGCAAAATGGGCTGCAGTATTTTTGTTTTATGTAGTCTGGATCCGCCACTACTCTCTGCCCCTCCCTCCATTCATTTTTATCAAAACAAGTATAAAATAAATTAGAACAGATGAACTAAGTCTAAAACAAAGACCATCACTTACTCTAACACCAACACTATCACTATCACTAAAACTAACACTACACAAAGAGTAACTCTAATAACAGCAGCACTACCACTACAACCTTAAAACAGAAACTTTTATTAAGATAAATAAAAGACGAAGACTAACACCACAACTTAGACTAACACTAGTAGACGATCACTATGACCATCACCATGAAAATCTTCTCTTACTTGCTATTTAAGCCACACTGTCCTATTCTTTATATTAGATATCTTTACAATACAAAGTCATAACTGTAATTCAAGCTTCACAACTTGATTTTAAATTCCTACAAACTTATTTTTGATCACAACATCTTAATTGTTCTACCGCATAACCAAATTCCTATAACCTTCACAAACTCTGCTTCTAACCACAAACTAATTCAACAATCCTATATTCCTAACTCCAATAATTTTAACTTAACTTTAATATTAAATCTTGTTTTGAGCTCTTTTTTCAGCATTTTTATGATTTTGATTGATAAAGATTTTATCATAGTAAAATCACGAAATATCTCTTTAAAGGCATGACAAATAAGCTCAAAATCTCTCAATGGAACGTTATCTTATTTACCCTAACATTACACGCGTGTCCAGATTATCGCAAATTTTGGCTTCAAAGGTAGTGTTCCAGTTATCTTCATCTTAATGGTCATTGTCTATAAGCTAGCTAATTTACTTTATCATTTTATAGCCATTGAGCAAAATGGCTTGATACCAAGTTTTATCTACATGCATATAGTGTCGCAAAGTCAGCTTTTGGCTATAAAATTTGCATTGCCAATTTTATCGTTTCGCTGCTATGAAAAGAATTCAATTTTTTACAATAAAAACAGCAGGTGATTTAACTTGAACATTTAGTGAACATTCCAATTTCTTTATTATCAAGCAAAAGCAAAGGCATCATGTAGTTGATTGCGTCTTAAATCTTTCTGAATTTGTGAAGGTATGTTGATTTTAAAGTTTACCTGTCATTATAATAATGTATTTTAAGTTTGGGATTTAATATTTTATGTTCATTTATCAATTAGTTCTTTATGTCAAGGAAACTTTGCGATAAAGTCATTTCCGCGTTACGTATATGTTTTATATGGATAAAATTTGTTGATTCTAATGGGATTTTACAATAAATTTGAGTTCGCAACGATTTAGTAATGGAAACTTCTGATCTTATCCGATTTATTTCAATAGTTTATCTTAAATTATATTCATATAGCAAAGCTATAAGATTAATAACATGTCACTCGTTACACAGTTTTAAATGTTCTGAGTTTAGTGCATGAATTATAGTCTTTGGAGTTAGCTGAATGTATGGAAGGTGAAAAATATTTCCTTTTTTATTCATTTGTCACGTCTCATTCAAATCTCATGTTGAAGATGCCTATTCTGCATCGTCAACGGAAAACAAGCCAGGTTTTAAAGACCTTTGGCACAAGTAAATATAAATCAATGCAAAATACTATTATTATATTGATTTTTTTTAAGATAAGCAAAATTTTTACACTCATATAGTGTATAGTGCAACTGCATTATCGATAAGGTTTTGCTTTAGATAACTATATGGAATGATTAATTGCAACAAATATTCGTAATTATTTTATACCGACTATACGCAGTCTGTGTCAGCTTTACATAAAAAGTCTTTGTTGAAACGCATTCAGGAATGATTAGGATGATGCAACTCAGTTGATGTTCGTGTATTGATAGTGTTGTGGATAAACTGGTCATGTTTTCTTTAATATTACGTTATTCTTATATTACACATATTTCGTAATATTAAACTGAACGTGTGTCTTATTATGATGAGTTACACAAAGTAAATTTATTAATGATAACACCTGTAGAGTAATAAAATGACCTGCATGGCATGTAGATAGTTAATTTATAAAAGATTTTTACAAATTTACGGTTTGCACTATGGAGACCTTTGGGAGAACTCACAACTTCTCCAAACTTGGCATAAGCCAGCGCAAACACTTTCGTTTTGTTTTTTTTTTATAAAAACTTACTGCATGCAATGATGCGGAACAG